TGGTGTTATGATTGTTTTCTGACACAGGGTCTCCCTGTATAGTTCAGGCTAGTCTGTAACTTGCTCCTGTAGCTGCTGATGCTGGCCTCAAACTTTCTTTTTTTTTGAAAAAACAAATTATTGTTTTTTATTGAGCTCTACATTTTTCTCTGCTCCCCTCCCTGCCTCTCCCCTCCTCTTCAACCCTTCCTCAAGATCTCCATGCTCCCAATTTACTCAGGAGATCTTGTCTTTTTATACTTCCCATGTAGATTAAATCTATGTATGTTTTTTTTAGGGTCCTCATTGTTGTCTGACTTCTATGAGATTGTGATTTGCAGGCTAGTTTTCTTTGCTTTATGTTTAAAAACCACTTATGAGTGAGTACATGTGATAATTGTCTTTCTGGGTCTGGATTACTTCACTCAAAATGATGTTTTCTAGCTCCATTCATTTTCCTGCAAAATTCAAGATGTTATTTTTTTCTGCTGTGTAGTACTCCATTGTGTAAATGTACACCACATTTTCCTTATCCGTTCTTCAGTCAAGGGGCATTTAGGTTGCTTCCAGGTTCTGGCTATGACAAACAAAGCTGCTATGAACATAATTGAGCACATGCCCTTGTGGCACAATTGAGCATCCTTTGGATATATACCCAAAAGTGGTATTACTGAGTCTTGAGGAAGGTTGTTTTCTAATTTTCTGAGAAATTGCCACACTGACATCCAAAGGGGTTGTACCAGCTTGCATTCCCACCAGCAATGCAGAAGTGTTCTCTTTTCCCCAAAACCTCTCCAGCATAAGTTGTCATCAGTGTTTTTAATCTTGGCCATTCTTACAGGTGTAAGATAGAATCTCAGAGTTGTTTTGATTTGCATTTCTCTGATGACTAAGGATGTTGACCATTTCCTTAAGTGTCTTTCAGCCATTTTAGATTCCTCTGTTGAGAGTTCTCTGTTCTCCATTATTTTATGGGATTATGTGGGGGTATTTTTTTTTGGTGTTTAACTTCTTGAGTTCTTTGTATATTTTGGAGATCAGACCTCTGATGTGGGGTTAGTGAAGATCTTTTCCCATTCTGTAGGCTGTCATTTTGTCTTGTTGACCATGTCCTTTGCTTTACAGAAGCTTTTCAGTTTCAGAAGGTCCCATTTATTAATTGTTTCTCTCAGTGTCTGTGCTGCTGGGGTTCTATTTAGGAAGTGGTTCCCTGTACTGATGCGTTCAAGTGTATTTTCCACTTTCTCTTCTATAAGATTTAGTGTGGCTGGCTTTAAGTTGAAGTCTTTGATCCATTTGGACTTGAGTTTTGTGTATAGTGATAGATATGGGTCTATTTTCATTTTTCTACATGTTAATAGCCAGTTATGCCAGCCCCATTTGTTAAATATGCTTTCTTTTCTCCATTTGATATTTTTTGCTTCTTTGTCAAAAATCAGGTGTTTGAAAGTGTGTCGATTAATATCTGGGTCTTTGCTTTGGTTCCATTGGTCCTCCTGTCTGTTCTTATGCCAATACCCAGGCTGTTTTCAGTACTATAGCTCTGTAGTAGAGTTTGAAGTCAGGGATTGTGACACCTCCAGAAGTTATTTTATTGTACAGGATTATTTTGGCTATCCTGGGTTTTTTTGCTTTTCTGTATGAAGTTGAATATCGTTCTTTTGAGTTCTGTCAAGAATTTTGCTGAGATTTTGATGGGCATTGTGTTGAATCTGTAGATTGCTTTTGGTAAGATTGCCATTTTTACTATGTTAATTCTACCTACCTAAGAGCATGGGAGATCTTTCCACTTTCTGGGGTCTTCTTCAATTTCTTTCTTCAATGATTTAAAGTTCTTTTTATACAAGTCTTCCACTTGTTTGGTTAGAGTTACTCCAAGATATTTTATGCTATTTGTGGCTGTTGTGAAGGGTGATGTTTCTCTGATTTCTTTCCCAACCTTTTACCATCTGTGTACAGGAGGGCTACTGATTTTTTTTAGTTAATTTTGTATCCTGCTATATTACTGAAATTGTTTATGAGTTGTAGAAGTCCTGGTAGAATTTTTGGGATCACTTATGTAAACTATTATATTATCAGCAAACAGTGAGAGTTTGACTTCTTCTTTTCCAATTTGTATTCCCTTTATCTCCTTTTGGTGTCTTATTGCTTTAGCTTGGACCTCAAGTACTATATTGAATAGATATGGAGAGAGTGGACAACCTTATCTTGTTCCTGATTTCAGTGGAATTGCTGGGAGTTTCCATTTAGTTTGATGTTGGCTGTTGGCTTGCTGTATATTGCCTTAATTATGTTTAGGTATGTTTCTTGTATCCCTGCTTACTCCAAGATCTTTATCATGAAGGGATGTTGTATTTTGTCCAATTCTTTTTCGGTATCTAATGAGATGATCATGTGGTTTTTATTTTTCAGTTTGTTTATATGGTCGATTACATTGACATATTTTCGTATGTTGAACCATCCCTGAATCTCTGGGATGAAGCCAACTTGATCATGGTAGATGACAGTTCTGATGTGTTCTTGGATTTTATTTGCCAGTATTTTATTTAGTATTTTTGTATCAATGTTCATGAGTGAGATTGGTCTGTAATTCTCTTTCTTAGTAATGTCTTTCTGTGGTTTGGGTATCAGGGTAATTGTAACCTCATAAAAAGAGTTTGGCAATGTTTCTTCTGTTTCTATTGTATGGAATAATTTGAGGAGTATTGGTATTAGTAGTTCTTTGAAAGTCTTGTAGAATTCTGTGCTGAAACCATCTGATCCTTTTTTTTGGGGGGGGGGCTTGATGACTGCTTTTATTTCTTCTGCCAAACTTTCTATTCTCCCGCTTCAGACTCATGAGAATTGGGATCACAGGCATGCACTGCCACATGCAGCTAGGATGCAAAACTCTTAATTTCCAGAAGACACTTGATTACTCTTGGACTTTCTATATTTAATCCCTATGCTCTTTATTAACCTAGAAAACAAATTTGATTAGGACACGCATGGAGTTCATCTTGATGTCATTGTGTGCTGCAGGCACTGAAAGCTCTTTAGATTTCAGTGATAGATATATGAAACCTGGCTTTAGTCAATTAGCCACTTACAGGCTTCCTTGCAGTTTAGCACTTAAATGTGCACTGATTTCTACCATAATTGCCTTTCTTTTTATTTTGTTAGATGGTAACACACCCAATTACTATTTTCTATTTCCTCCATAGCCTATAAAGAACATTAGCTGCTAACTGTGTTTCCAGGAAATGGACCCAGTTTTAAACCTTTAAATTAGAGTTGAAAAGATCAATTCAGCTTACACACTCACTGCATTTGATTACTATATCCCGGTTTCTATCCAGTGTGTGTGTGTGTGTGTGTGTGTGCACATGCGCATGTGTGTGTGTTCATAAGCACATGTTACATCCCTGAATTTACAAGGTACTTGTGTTTAAAAGAAGTCTGTAGAAAGTCGTGACAACCCTCTTATCAATACCCTATTTGAAAGCTTGCTACATTTCAATATGAACGATTCTCTTTAAGATAAATCTGAAAACAAGGATAGTCAGTGCAATATCTTAGTTTTTAACATACTCATGAAAACATTACTGAGGTCACAAATTATGTCAGCTTTATTTTTAACAGTTTGGGGTTTTGGGGATTCTGGTTTCTAGTTAAGTAAAACAAATAGGGCTTCTTCAGAATCTGATTTCTAAAATTTCTAAAACCTTAAGTATCACATTGTTGGTGTTTTTGTCTTATATGATCTTAAATTTACACGTATTTTAAGATATTTGTTGTTTGTTTATCTGTTTGTTTGTTTTCAGAGAAGATCTCCACAGTCCATACTGACCTTGACCTCATGGTGATCCTCCTGTCTTCATCTCCCAAGTGCTGGAATTACAGGCATGCACCACCATGCCTGATATAACTATTTTAAAAGTACATTCTGGTGTTGTCAGGCATTTTAAAAACTCTAACCAAGGAGAAGAAATTAACTTTTAATTCAGTGTGTGTGTGTGTGTGTGTGTGTGTGTGTGTACAGGCCAAGGTCATAGGACAACTTCTGGGAATCTTTCTGTCCACTGTGGTTTCTAGCTCATCAGTCTCATGTGGTAAGCACGTCTGCCTGCTGAGCAGTCTCAACAGCCCAAACATTAATTTTTGTGGGTTGTACAAGATGTGCAGGTGGAGCTTAGACTTCTATTTAGGCAGGTTGTTCAGTGGATGAGTGAGTGATCACAAATAGGTAGGTGGCTAGGTAGTAGGAGAAGGAGCCAAACTGGCAAAGCAGTGCTTTGGCAAACGCAGTTAGAATATGCTATGCCTCTGGAAGCGGAATGATTAAAGAAAGGATATCATAGGAGACCAAAACCAAAGCAGAGACTAGAGAATCCTCTTGTTTCAAGAGACTTCTGCAAGTTTAAGGCAAGACCCAACAGAGGCGTCCAGTCAGTTGGAAAGATAATCCTCATGATTGGGCTGGCAAGGTGGCTCCATGGGCCAAGCTGCCTACATATCACCAAGCCTGACAACCTGAGTCAATCCCAGAGCCACAAGAGAAAAGAGAACTGACTCATTCACATGTGACTTCCACACACATGCATGGCGCACCTAGCGCACCCACATACATAATAAATAATAAATAAATGTTCAAGAAGAAAAAGAGAAACTGTGGTTATTTTAAATAGACATTAGCCTATGCTTAGACTAGTGAAGTACTGTTGTGAGCTTGGAGCTCATGCTCTGTAGTGGGTTTTTCTATACACATACTAAGTTATGTGATTATTTTTATAAACTTTTCTTTCAATAAACAAGTAGTTGAATACAAAACCAGGCATGGCCCTTTGACTCACTTATACCAAAGGAAATTGTTCTTCCCCAGATCATGAGATCACAAGCCAGGTAACAGGTTCTTGTGCATGAAGATCGGGCATGATGCTGGCAAGGGCAACCTCTTAAGAGCTATTTTGAAGACCATGAAATAGCTGTGACCGTACTATAGCAGTGCTGATCAAATGTTTATACCGTGTTTGTCTTTTCAGTGCCCACTTGGAATTTCCAATCAGCGATAGCAGCAATGGTAAGATTACCTATTTTTCTTATGAATTTTTTAAAGTTAGTCTTTATTGACATTTAGGATGAGGATATAGCTGACCGGTAAAGCACTTGCCTAGCATGCACAGCACCCCTATGTTCAACCCCTAATAGTCCTCCCACTCCAACCACCCCCTAAAATCTTGATGAACTCATTCTTCCAAGACATTCAGAGTCCAAAAATGTTTGTACACAAATACAACACACACACACACACTATTTCAGATTTTGAGGTAGTACAGATTACGGATTTCTAGTAAAGATGTATGCAGCCATTCCAAATGCTGCTGAGATCTGAAACACTTGTGGCCCTAGCATTTTCAGATAAGGAATACTCAACCTGTCTATCAGCAACTAAAAATAAAAGCCCCATCTTGTGTGCTGTTAGATATATGTCTCAGACATTGAGGAGTGAACTAAGCTAGCAGATTAGTAAGAAACAAGAAAAGGAACCAGAGGCTATTGGGGTCATTAGAATTGGCAGTTCATTTCTATCTTGGAAGTAGTACAGATAGCCAAAATGACAAATGTCAGGACTTTTTTCTTATCTTATAGAAAGCAAACAGTAAAGTAGAAAAGGGGGAAGCATAATAGGGATGAATATGTTGTAAATACATTATGTACTAGTATGGAGATGTCATGAAGCTGTTATTACATATACTAATAAAAAACTTAAAGTGGACTCTTGCTACAAATACTGTGAATTAAATGAAGGCTTTTTTAGTGAAAACAGTCTTTATTTCCCTCTGTCCTCGATGCCTTGGTTTCTTTTCCTGTTGTTGTGATAAAATTCTCAGATAACTGCACATTAAGGGAGAAAAAATAATTTTGGCTCCCAGTTCAAAGGTACGGTTCATCGTGGCGGTAATATTGGATACAGTCGGGAGCAAGGGGTGAGGAATTCATGCTTCTGCTTCATTTACACTCTAGAATCCTTGCCAGGGAATGGTGCCACCTGGACTGGTCTTCCAGACGCAATTGACAGAATCCCCCACAGTTGAACCCAGAGATCTGATTCTAAATCCTGTGATGTTGTCAACACCAATCATCACATTATATAAGCCTCCATAACCTTTAGCTATAGTCCTGTGGGTAACTCAGGAAATATATTACATTTGCCCCCTGTTGTGGGTACAAACCTATTTGACACATTTTTCTTTTTATTTATGCTTAGTAGCATCCTTGTGGAAGTAGATATTCAGTATTAGTGTGGTGGTTTGAGTGGGAAATCTCCCCTGTAGGCTGGTGTAAATGAACACTGATCCCCAGTCGGTGACACTGTTTGGGGAGATTATTGAAGAATGTAGCCTTGCTGGAGAAAGTACATCACATGGAGTGGGCTTTGAGAATTTATAGCCTTGTCCCCCTTTCCGTTTACTCTCTAGTTTAGTTTATGGTTGAAGATGTGGTGTCTTAGCTTTCTGCTCAGGCTCCTGTGCCTGCTGCTTGCTGCCATGCCTCCCAACTGTAATGGACTAACTCTGGAAGCACAAGGCCCTCTTTAATGCTTTCTTCTAGAAATTGTTCTTGTTCCTGTTATTTTATCACAGCAACAGAAAAAGAAATGATAGCACTCAGTGAATAGCTGTTGGTTAGTCGTTTTAAACATTTGAAGATTCTCTAGAGGATGAATCATTTGATGTCTCTTATGTGTCCATTCCATAGACTTCAAAATGGAGAACTAGTGAATCTTGGTATTCTCACCCAGTATATGCAAGATATTGGCGACATTATCATCATGCAATGGTTTGGATGCGATCCCACCAGAATGTTTACAGGAAGTCTAGGAATTCCTGTTTCACTTCCCCATGGTTCTACCCTCAAGGAGTTCTTCCCTGGAACCCTGTTGCTTCTGAGGCTGGGCATCCTTGGAACTATCAAGGCCAACACATGGTCTGGCAGGAGCCTCCCTACAGTGTTTCCCATCTACAAAGCTCTGGGAAGCCTCTATATGATAGCAGTAGAATCCAGGCCACTACAAGAGAAGATGAAGCCCCATATGAAGAGGAAGAGATGGAGTCGGATTCAGATAATGAAATAGAATGTGACCTGAGCAATATGGAAATCACGGAGGAGCTCCGCCAGTACTTTGCAGAGACTGAGAGGCACAGAGAAGAGCGGCGTAAGTTCGGGCCTGTTACCTTGTGTTCTTTTGGCTGCCCTGCCATTTGCATCTCTTTTCTTCTCTAACATAAAAAGTTCTTAGAACTTTTTATTTATGTACAGTTAATCTAAATCTGGTCCTAAGCCCAGAAAAAACTGTGCTGATGTTCCTCAATTACATTGATCCAGAGTTTTTATATAGGGCTGTTCATTTGAGTTCCTAATGATACCTCTGCCATTTTTTTGAGCATTAGACACTCAACCAGATGGAACGTGCATGTATGTGCATGCCTGTATGCCCTCTAATCCACACAGCAGTCTCTCAAGGCATGGAACTCATTTTACAAATGAGAAAAGTGAAGGTTGAGGAGGTTAATTACACAGCTACTCATTTGCTGTTAGGATTCAGCTCTTCCTGACTGCACACTAGCGTGTATCTTTCTCTCTGCCATGCTTCTCCCTGACGCTACTGGATTTTCCAAATACTGTACTCTGACCATTTCTCAGGGACACAGCTCAGAGCTGGTCCTATATAGCTCCTTGCAGTGTAGAGTCAGTATGAACCTAAACAGAATAACAAAATGCCCCACAGATACAGCTTTCCTGTTTGGTCCACGCTACAGCTTACAGCATTACAATAAAGATCTTATCACTGTATGTTCAACAGCAGGAATTTTCCTATTTAACATTGGCAGTGTTCACTAGATCATTTATTATTGTTTCAAGTGCCCTTGAAGATTTACAAATACTTCTTTCCTATTACAACTAGTATTCGGTCTCAAGACACCTTTCAATATGGTCTCATTGTATATTTTATGTAGAATTTTCATTTGGTTGGTTTTGAGACAGAGTCTTCCTGTATGGCCCAGGCTAACCTGGAATTTCTGATCCTCCTGCCTCAGCCTCCTGAATACTGGGAGTAAAGATATGCACCACTAAAGCCAGCTCCTTGCCCAGAATTTTCTAATAAACAGAAAACTAGAAGTTTCAAAGTAGAAAAGTTTCATTTCCATTTTAAGATATCTGTGCCCTCTTAACAATAGATTAGCATTTATTGATCCCCAGTTGATACAAGGAACTAAGCAGCAGACTTTGGGTGAAAGATTTTTTTTTAGTATCTGTTACAATGAGAGGGGGGTCCTTTGTTTGCCCTGGCCACCCTGCTATCTTACACCCGAAATAATCACACAGAAACTGTATTCATTAAAACACTGCTTGGCCCATTAGCTCTAGCTTCTTATTGGCTAATTCTTACATCTTAATTTAACCCATTTCTATTAATCTGTGTATCGCCACATGACTGTGGTTTACTGACAAGATTCTAACCAGCGTCCGTCTCAGGCAGAAGGTCCATGGCTTCTCTCTGACTCTGTTCTTCTTCCCAGCATTCAGTTCTATCTTCTCCGCCTACCTAAGTTCTGCCCTATCAGGCCCAAAGCATTATATTCATTAACTAATGAAAGCAACACATGAACAGAAGAACCTCCTATACCATTTCCCCTTTTCTGTTTAAAAAAAAGGAACGCTTTAACATAGTAAAAATACATATAACAAAGCAGTTATCAAGCAAAAATTACAGTTACAATATTTATATCTACTTTATCTTTTATCATAACTAAGGAAAACTATAACTATAAATTCTTCAACTCCATCAAAGACTCCAGAAGGATATAATATTACCTAAGTAAACATGAAGTACATTATAAACAATTTCCAAAACTCTAGAATTGACAGAAACATCTTGCTGCCTGGGCAGTCATTCAAAGTTCTTCCGTACCATTGGGGCATCGATCGTCAGCCTACAGGTCCATAGTATCCAGCAGACTTTTCCACAAAGCAGGAAATTTCAAAGCCAGTTCTGCCTATATTGGCAGTTTTCAGTCACTTTCTTCTGTGTCCTGTAGAATGTTTCATAGACTCTTTCATGAAGCAGGAACTCTGAAGGATCATCTCACCTTTAGGCAAGTTCAGCAGTCATTTCTCTGCAGGTCCTGCATGTCCAGTGAAGCAGTCCAGGTAAGAGCAGTTTCTTGCCCTAATGGCTAACCACCTCCATAAGGAGTCTCTTCAATGCCCATCTTCCTTTTGAAGTAGCTTGTGCTGCCAGGAGCAGATGTGTCTCATTGTCATGAAAAGACCTAAATTTTTAAAACATTTATATGCCATATTCTGAAGGTCTCTGAAAAACTTGAAGAATACCTATCTGACTGAAATATATCTCTATACATCTAGAAAATCTAACTAACATGACTATAAGCTTGACTAATAAAGACGACTCTCTATTAACCTATATTTGTTAATTATACATTACATGTTTAAATGAGCTACACAATCACAATACCTTAAACAAGATCAGAAATACATATATATATAGCCGGGCAGTGGTGGCGCATGCCTTTAATCCCAGCACTCGGGAGGCAGAGGCAGGCGGATCTCTGTGAGTTCGAGACCAGCCTGGTCTACAAGAGCTAGTGCCAGGACAGGCTCCAAAGCCACAGAGAAACCCTGTCTCGAAAAACCAAAAAAAAAAAAAAAAGAAATACATATAACAAAATTGACCTTAAATTTGTATAATTTGTATAAGGTCAAAATCCATACTAATGCAAATTATTCATATCTATATCATATCCCCTTTAAATATAAACAAACAGTTATAAGCAATATTTGGGAATATGGGCATAGTTATTTTTCTCCAAACTTCTTCCTGCTATATTGGGGCGCTGTTAATCAAGTCTTTCATGGTGTATCCTGTGTGCTAGGTTCATCTCAGTTACCAGTTGGGCAAAGTAATTTTTTGAGGGTGTTCATGGCGACCTTTCAGGAGGTCTTGGTTCATGAAACCATATTGGTGTAGAAGCAATCAACAGGTTCTCATCTTCGGTGAAAACAAAAGAAGAACCTCCTTTCCAAAGCAACTTATCCTTAGATTCAAATTTGGAAGTCATGATACTTTATTAATATACATGCTGGTTTATCTTAGCAGCCCATATAATGAAATGTCTCTCTGTATTTAGCTCCTTCAAAGTCAAAAAATTCAAAGAAAACACAATAACAGACATAATTCAGACTCTCTGTGAATTTTCCATTTTTATGTGGCTTATTTTTCTTTACTCCTTTTAGTCTATAACTATCTGTACTCTGTCTCCTTAAAGACTTTACCCTCCTTTTTAAGCATTAACTTTATTTTATGACTCTCTATACCCTTTTCCTTCTCCCAAGCCTATCTAACACTGTGACCCATTTAGAGGTCTTTTATATCTGAATGTGTCCTATTGTGAATCTGTAATTCTTTACTGTCCAGGAGCACTTCTTAAAATGCTAAGGGCTAGAGAAATGGCTCAGAGGTTAAGAGCACTGTTCTTCCAGAGGACCCAGGTTCCATTCCCTGCAGTTCACAACTGTCTGTAACTCCACTTCTAGGGGCTCTAATGCCTTCTCATCTTCAGGGGCACCAGACATGCACATGGTGCACAGACACATATGCAGGCAAAACACTCATGCATAGTAAATAAAAAATAATAATTAAAAAAGAAACTATATCTAAACAACTTTGAAAGCAATACTTTGTTTTGCATAGAGTATGTTTCTTTTTTATTCTGTTTACCTATTGGGGGAATGCAGGTTAGAGAACATAGTTGCCAGAGTTGGCTCTCTTCTTCCACCATATGGGTCACAGGGACTGAACTCCTGTCATCGGTCTTGATAAATGCCCTTATCTGCCAAATCATCTCAGGAGACCCATGGAGTACATTTCTTTCCTTGGTCCCCAGAAATAAATTTTAGTTTTTCTCAAAATTCATACAGAACAGTCATTAGTCTAATTAAGACATATATCACAAATGAAGAGGTAAGGTGTTGGAGCATGTTCATATGTACTTGTAACACTATGACTTACAGCATGGGTTAGAGAACACAGGATTTTGCAAAATATTACTGCCAAGAAAAGGCAGGAACATGAATGAAAGTTAACATCCCCCATAGGAAAGAAAGCCCTTCAAAACAAATATTGCCCCTGTGGTCTTGGTGTTGTGCTGGTCAGGTCTTTATTAGATGTGATTCTATGGTGTATGTTGGCTCAAAACAAGGACATGTTCTCAAAGAACGTGATATTCTTAAATGAAGTTGAAATGAACTCTTATTTAAAATGAAGTGTAGAAGAGTGTCTGTGGCATACAGCGTACATACAGTTACTGACACAAACAAAGGGGCAGAGCCAGTGTCCAAGACAGTGGACGGACGACTGTTACAAGGTAGCTGTGGAGAACTGGAGTGTGCTCTGGACTTGGAGCAGTGCCACATCTATTAAGAATGAGAGAAAAGGTTAAGTCCACTTGGTGCTTAACTGCTGTGTTACTTTTACTAAAGAGCCCAGATGTGTTTGTGCATCTCACGGGAAACATGGGCTCCAAAATGTTCTGTATAGCCCATTTAAAGGATTTCCACTATTGTGTCCATAGTGACTGACCCTTTGGTCAGTGCACTAAGAACCCACCGCTTTCTCCCTTAGTCTGTCCTCTAGAAAACCTGGAGTATTTAACAAGGCTTATAGTCGAGTGTTTCCTGAGCTGTTTTGGTTTGGGTAATGGGATGAGAGTGTGAAATCACACTGACTGTGCACCATCCCACTTTATGCCTTCATCTCATTGGTACAGATGTTGCGAAGCTCAGAAAAGCAGCTATTGAGATGATGGATGTGGAAGGTCAGAGAAAGTGGAAGGGGGCGGGGTAAATGCACTTTCCTCATAAAAGCTAAAATGATGATTGCCCACTGACTTCAGGGTTACACTTGATGTGGAACAATGGACACAGAACAAGGACACCAATCAGATGACTGTGCTTGGCAAGTACCTGTGTTTTGAGTCTGTTGCTGATGAGCCAGAAAGGCATTGTTGATTTAGTCACGTCTGTGCTGTCCCTTGGTTATGCTAGCATCGTTAACTTTGGCAACATAGCAGAGAACTCTCATAAAGAAAGACATGTTAATCCTAGAAAAATGAGGAGAAATAACATTCCTTAACACTAATTATTGTAGTGCTTTGTCTCAAACTGTTCTGCCTTTGAGCTAATTATCTGTGGAATATTTAATGAGTGTTTTCCTGCTGTGTCAAATTTCCCTAAAGTCTGAGTAACTTCCTGTGATTATTTTTTCCCATTATGGATTATAATTATACATTAGTAATTTCTCTCTTTTAAAATCAAGTTTAATTGGTGGGGGTGGGGGGGCCGGAAGGTGTAAGTGTGTTGATATGATGCCAGAGCAGCCTGGAATTACAGGCAGTTGTAAGTCCCCTGCCTGGGTGCTGGGAACTAAACCTGGATCTTCTGCCAGAGCAGTTGAACTCTTAACCACGGAGTCATATCCCCAGTCTCTTGTAGATGCACAGACTGAGACAGAAACATGTCAAAACTCTGGACCCTAAACTTAGATGGAGTCCAGTGACATTTTCTTTTAAAATATATTAATGATTGGAGGATTATTTACACCCCACATGAAAATCCTTGTATTTGCTTTATAGGGTAGCTGTAGCAAATTACAGTAAATTTCATGATCAAATGGGAGAGGTTTATCTTTTCAAACCCAAAATCAAGGTGCCCTCAGGGCTACCTTCCTTTTTTTTTTTTTTTTTTTTTTTTGGTTTTTCGAGACAGGGTTTCTCTGTAGCTTTGGTGTCTGTCCCGGAACTAGCTCTTGTAGACCAGGCTGGCCACCACCGCCCGGCTTTGGGCTACCTTCCTATAAAGGCTCTGAAGCCTTGCTTGCCGCAGCTTCTGGTGTCTCCCAGCATGCCTTCACTTAGAGCAGTGTCACAGGCTCTGTCTGTGTACACGGCTTTCCCTGTGTGTCTCTGTGTCCTTTTCTGTCTCATATAAGGTCACTCTCATTAGATTCAGGGTCTGCCCTAATCTAGTATAATCCCATCAATCTCTTTAACTGTCTGCAAAAACCCTCTTTCCAAGTAAGCTCCCATTTTGATGCTTCGGTAGTAAGGACATGCTGTTTAGCCTGCTTCAGCCCTGTGTTGAAACTGCAATGGAATTTAAGTGCTGTTCTGATTTATAGTTAGTAAATTCCCTCGGCCAAATACCCTTAAATTAGTCAGACTTTCAGTGGCTGTGACAAAATACCTGTCAACCAGGAAGGAGAGATTGGTTTGGGCTCAGAGTTTCAGAAGGTTTAGTCCAAGATCAGTTGGATGGACTCGTGGCTTTGAGACTGAGAACAGGCAGAACACCAACTGGCAGTGGCTTGTGGGAGCAGCCACCTCAGTACATTAGCACTCCTGCCAATCATTTTATTCTCTCTGGGAGCCAGCCTGTTGCCACCCACATTCATGACAGATTTTTTTGGGTTTTTTTTGTTGTTTTTGTTTTTCCGAGACAGGGTTTTTCTGTAGCTTTGGTGCCTGTCCTGGAACTAGCTCTTGTAGACTAGGCTGGCCTCGAACTCACAGAGATCCGCCTGCCTGCACCACCACCGCCTGGCTTATGACAGATCTTTCTTCCTTGGTTGTTCATCTAGAAAAACACCCCTAGACACGTGCAAAGGGGGTCTTTACTATATCCTAGGTGTCCCTCAATGCAGTCATGTTGTTAATTAAGACTCACTATTACAACCCTATGAGAAAAAAAAATGCTGTGACATTGAGTGCTACTGTGTTTTGAGATTTAACATGACCTACTCTGTTATCCGTGCAAGGCAACCATTCAGCTGTGTCTCTGGTGTGATGGTGATGTCAGCTTCATTTGGATCATTCAGTTGAGCCTTCACCATAACTTGACAAAGGAAATGTGGAGGGTTACAGATGCTTTCTTTCCTTGGGAGAGAGGAAGAAGGCAATAATTAACAAACAGACTGGGCGGAGGCCTTTAAGCCCATTGTATCATACAGTTCTTGGTTCTCTAAGTCAGTGTATTCTAGATCAGTGTTTCTCAGCCTTCCTAATGTTACAACCCTTTAATACAGTTCCTAATGTTGTGCTGACCCCCAAGCATAAAATTATTTTTGTTGCTACTTCATAACTGCAATTTTGGTCCTGTTATGATTTGTAATGTAAATATCTGTGTTTCCGGTGGTCTTGGGTGACCCCTGTGAAAGGGCCTTGACCTCATGGGTCACAACTCACAGATTGAGAACTGCTGTTCATAGTATTTTCAGATACTAACGGATCATAAGTACACAGCCTGTTGGTGAGAGATTGATTTTGAACTAAATTTTTGAGTCTAAGATATAGCTCAGTTGGTAACCTTCTTGCCTGGGTTGCCCACAGCCTGCAGTTCCACCCTCAGCTCTGTCTAAACCAGGTGTGGTGGCACTTACTATAATCCCACACCTCAGAAGTGCAGACCATAAAATAAGAAGTTTGGAGTCAGTCACCTTGGCTACATTGCGAGTCTAGGCTAAGCCACTATTCCAATGCTTATTAAACACTGTCCCACCAGGCAGTCTAAGCTTACTTCAGAGTTCTGCCAAAAGAACCGGAAGTGACTGATTCTAGGACTGGGGAAGGGTAGTAAAAGAAGGGTGAAGGGTGAGCCCAGAGAAAAGACAGTCTCTGGCTGGGTTTCCACCCAAGCTCCCATATCTAAAACCCAGGGATCTCTATAGCAATAAGATGCAGACAGAGAGAGCTGTCACGTGCTTTTCCCTGATTCAGTTTTTTAATTTTTGTTCTTCCAGCAGAAGTGAGCTCAGAGGTGAAATGGCCATTTCCCCTGGCTAATTGGGGCCCAGTTCATTCACCATCATGTTCCTTTACCAGAACTCAGGTTTGGGGTATAGAATGTACATACCTCTGAGGACTGAGCAGCAATGCTAATGATTGAAACTTGGGAGAAAGACCCAAGTTTTGAAGCAAAATACTTGGTGACCTCTAATTTATTTGTGCAGTAGGCCAGTTTTTTGCATCTTCCAGTAAAGATCAATATACATCTCTTTTTTGTGGCTTCACGGGCTTTTGCCTTATTATATATTACTTCCACATGGGACAGTAAACTGCAGATGTTCTAGGACAACAGTGACCAGATGAATATATGTGGCCATAGCCATTTTTATTTATTTATGTATATGTGTGTATGTATGTGTGCATGTCAAATGTGCGGGGGTGCTCTCAGAGCATCTATGAAGCTTCAGTTCCAGGTAAGTGTGAGCTGCCCAGCTTGGGTGCGGGAATGAAATGTGGGCATGGTCTCCTTATACAGTTCTGGCTATCCTGGACTAACAATGGAGACCAGTCTGGTCTAGAACTCACAGCAGTCCACCTGCTTCCGCCATGGGATGGCTAGCATATTGAAAGGCTTGTTCCATCAGGTTTGTAAAACTCCTTGCCAATTCCAAGGTGTTAGTTATAAAGAACTAGATTTACAAGGGTGTCAGCGAATAGCTGTCTTCCCTTCACACTTGATTAGCTCAGTGCCATCTTCCCTTCCAGATACTAGGAGAGGCTGATTTATGCCGTTGTTTTATTCCCCTACAGCCATCTTGACTCCTAATCTCCAGGCGTTCCTCTTGGTAACAATAGCAGCTACAGACAATGTGCTTTCTGCTATCCATTTCCCTCCTGACAGCATCGCTTGCAGAATCCGTGTGAGCTGCCTCCATTTTACTCTCTGCAGCATTGCTTTGTTGACAATTTTATGTGGCTATTTACATAGGAATAAAAATTGTACTATTGGGACGTGTGGTTTAAACAAAAGTAGAAAAGGGGAAACAAATTGAATAAATGCTTACTTTACAGGAACTTACTAAATTGGCAGACTCGCAGGTTTCACCCGGGCTAAGCTGTGAAGTGACAAGTGAAACCCCACACCTAAAAAAGCAGATGGCTTATGTAGCAGATTCCTTGTGTGACAGGCGCAGAGGGGTCACCCCACATTCGTACCTCATCTGTGGCTGTAAGAACTGCTTCTTGGCTTGAGTTGTCAGCTCTGTGTGAAGCACTTGTCATGCCATACAAGTGTGGAGACCAGAGTTGGGACTTCAGCACCAGCAATAGCAGATGTGCGTGGCAGGCCACCTGTAATCCCAGCGTTTGAGAAGAGACACAGTCCAAGGAGCAAGCTGGCTAAACAGACTAGCTGCATCAGGGAGCTCTGGGTCCAAGGGACTGCGCCTTCCTTCGTCTATCCAGTGGATAGTAATTCTCGTGGGGGAACGTTACCTGAAAGCACACAAGGACTGCCTGCCATGCATGGCCCAGCAGATGGCCAGCGAAAGCCATGTGTTTTCATTATCTCTTGTATTTTTAAGGTCTGCTACAGAGGATTGGTGGATTGGAATGATGGGTTTCTTGGTGGTATTTTGCCAGTTCTGTCAGCAGCTAGAGGCCCCTAAGAAGTGAGCAGTGAGCTTCATGACTACTAATATAGATAACGAGAATCTGTAGGCCATGCCTCAGGATCTGAAAATTACCTCAGTGGTCCAGCAGGGTTCAAATTTACCACTGGAAAAGGCGACCAGAAGGACCTTAGGGGCCACAGGCGGCGTGTGAGTTATGGCTGCACATGAGTTGTGCCAGTGGCGGCAATACTCATCAGGTCCTCTCCTGCATGTACATATCTTTTATGGCCATGGTCTTATCCATCCCCAGGGCGACAGCAGCAGCTAGAAGCAGAGCGCCTGGACGACTATGTAAATGCCGACCATGGGCTGTACTACAACCACCACCGGTCCACAGAGCCTCCCTTAGAGAAGCCTGGGGAGCGGCGTCAAGCCGAGATGAAACGTTTGTATGGGGACAGTGCTCCCAAGATCCTGGCCATGGAGGCTGCTGTGCAGATGAGCTTTGACAAGTATTGTGACAAAAAGCAGCCAAAATACTGGCCTGTCATTCCTCTGAATTTCTGAGTCGTTGGCACAGGGACCTTGGGGAAAGCCTCCTGAACACAATTCCTCGCCTTTCCCTCCTCTGGATGTGTTCTCTTCATTTCTCTTGGACATTTTTCAGAGAAAGAGGCCTATATACCAACACAGTGGATAGGATCTGTCAGCCACTTAGAATTCTGTCAGCAGGAGGTACACTGTTGCCAACACAAGAAATGTCCCCTTTATATAAAGTGATAATCGTATATATTATACTGGCTCTTGATTAACTTCCTAATAGAGTTCAGTTCATGGACATTTTTGCCTAGAGATACAATGATTTGCATTTGTAATTTCCTTCTTTAAGCCTTCCTGGTTGTCACAAAAGCCTTAAGCCACATGTCATTTTTTTTTTGAGACCAGTTCTCACATAACCCAAGTTAGCCTCAAACTCTTAAATCCTCCTCCTTCCACTTCCCAACTGCTAGCTTACAGATGTGCACCCCATTCTGGGCTCTAATCCACATGTTCTCACTGACTGTAACCCTTTGGATCCGTCTGAAAATGATACAAGAGTACAGTAAGGAAAATGCCACTTGCTATTCAGCGAGGTGTCAGCCTACATGCTCTCTAAAAGGCCTGAGAGCAATGCTCTGGGCTTAGCAGGCCATGTGCTCTGTCTCCTAACTGCCTAACCCTGACTTTACAGCGTCAAAACAGCCATGGATGCTGAGTAAATAAATGAATTTGACTGCGTTCCAATAAAACTTTATTTGTAAAATACAGGCCATGGACTGGATCTGATCTGCAACTGCGGCTATAACAGAATGAAAATCACCCATCTGACATTCTTATTTTGTTTTCTGTTCAGACCTTGGATGTCAAACAGAATTAATTGATAGCAAGGAACAGGAATTCCCCAATCTGGTCACTTTTGCCACCTCTTGTTGTCAGAATGCACAGTTGAGCTCTTACTGCATATGGTAAATACCAATTTGATAAGCAAGGACATCTGTGAGAAGGAAACCTAAACATTGACGGTGCAGTCCATTTGTAGAAGCCAGCTACTTTTTAAATAAGTGATTAACAGTGCATTGCTGGGGGTGAGCCTGTGTTGACCTGAGAAGATTAGCACATCCATCAAAGGTAGGTGAAAAGACTTCATATCGATGTGTTTCTCCCGAGGAGCACATTTAGCTTCCATCCGGCCCCTGCCCTGAGACAAACATTCCTTTCAGCACCCCGGGTGTTTATTTGTTCCAAGTTCTCATTTTATTACTGGCTTTGCGATTTGTGCTTAGGTACTGTAGACAAAAATCAGAATTCACTTGCCCCAAGGTGACACAATGACTAACATTCTCAGTGTTCCATCTTTCTCCCTTTCCTTAGAAACTCCAACACCTAAATGATAATACGAATGTGACTCACGCACAAACAAGCCACTTAGTGTCTCAGCAGGAGATGCTTGGCTGAGAGCACAGCTTTTTCTGCCTGCCTCAGAGATGCTGCCGGGCCATTCCCCACTACTGGCTTTGTTACCTTCCTCTCTTGGTGCTGCTCTTTCTCTTTGATATGTGTGTCAATGCTTTCCTTTCACTGCTTTTGGGAAGACAATTGAGCAGTACCTATAAAACACAGTAAAAAGTAAGTCACACAGTAAAAAGTAAGTATTTATAATACACATTCTCTCTTTTGAAAATGCCATAAAATATCAAGGGGGATCCAGAATATAAAACTTCCAAATATAGAGAATTCCTTCCCTGTCCACTTTTGCTTCTGGATACCTCATGCCCACCTGTAATTTGTTCCTAGGACCATTTGTGATAGACTACACCTATTGCTGATCTCAGTAAATGGTTGTTGAATATATTGAGTATCCCTTCCAATTAGCTGCACTGTAGTCCTTTCCCTTAGGGAACTTGCATTCTAGGCAGGGACACAAACATGTACTATGTTAACTGCTGTGTGTCTGTACTGCTAGAGGCATCTGTAAAAGCAGAAGAGAGAGCTTAGGGCAAGGCAGTGGTAATATTTGCACCATAGTAAACTATGCCCATGTTCAGAGAGTTTGGAACAAGGGGAAGACTTAAGGTGAAAAAGAAGAGGGTCAAGTCAGCTATTTTGAAACAATATCCTCTGCCAAAATGACTAATAGCCAAAGTTATGTCAAAGTTGAAGAAACAATTGCTTTGTAGAGGTTAGCATAAAGGGTTCCATTTTGATGCTGACAGCTTTAGTTGTTTCTGCTCGCAGCAAGCTCCCAAACTGACACCATCCTAGAGCTACCAAGAGTTGTTTCATTAGATCAAGAGATGATCTTATTATATAGGGAAGTCCAAGGGATTTAAGAACTCCATACCATGAAAATCAAAAGCCAAGTATTAGAATTAATATTCTCTTAGAGCTGTTTTCTTTTTTTTAATATTTATTTATTTATTTATTATGTATACAATATTCTGTCTGTGTGTATGTCTGCAGGCCAGAAGAGGGCATCAGACCTCATTCCAGATGGTTGTGAGCCACCATGTGGTTGCTGGGAATTGAACTCAGGACCTTTGGAAGAGCAGGCAATGCTCTTAACCACTGAGCCATCTCTCCAGCCCCCTTAGAGCCGTTTTCTACCATAGTTTCAGGAGTTCATTTGGGAACCAGATGCAGAGACTAATACATATTGCATATCATACCACAAGGCCAGATATGTAACTCAGTTGTGAGATTGCTTGCCTAGCATGCATGAAGCCCGTGGTCCTATCCCCAACACTCCATAAACAAGGTGTGGTAGTGTGCACCTGTAACCCTAGCGCTGGGGAGGTAGAGGTAAAGGCAGAAGGGTCAAGAGTTCAAGGTCATCCTCAGCTACTTAATGAGTGTGAAACAAGCCGTGGCTATATGAAACCTTAAAGAACAAAAACCAATAAATCTGCGCAACGTGAAAGCATATAGAGTATTTCCAAGCCTATTATGGATTACCCCACAGCTAATCAGAACCATGGTAATTCAAATAGCATAACATTTCACACCTTTCAGATAGGCAAATTTTTGGCCAGGCAGTAGAAAGTCGGGAACTCCCACCAAGGAGTATAGAACCATATATTACTGCTGTGATGAAACACCATGACCAAAAGCAAGGAGGAGGAAAAGGTTTATTTAGTTTACTTTGTTCATCACTGAAGGAAGAAGTCAGGACACGAACTCGAGACCTGGGGCTAGAAGCTGATGCAGAGGCCACGGATTGCTGTTTACTGACTTCTTCCACATGACTTGGACAGCCTGCCTTCTTGTAGAACCCAGGACCAGCATCTCAGGGTTGGTACCACCTACCATGGGCTGGGCCCACCCCCATCAATCACTAATTTTAAAAATGCCCTACAGCAGGTTTTAATCTCAGCACTTGAGAGGCAGGTGCAGGTGGGTCTTTGTGAGTTTAAGGCCAACCTGGTCTACAGAGCAAACTTCAGAACAGCGAAGGCTACACAGAAACCGTGTCTCAAAAAACAAGAGAGAGAGAGAGAGAGAAGTAAATGCCCTCCAGCTTTTCCTGCAGCTTATCTTTGGGGTTCATTTTTTTAATTGCGGCTCACTCTTCTCTGGTGACTAAAGCTTGTGTTGACATAAAACTAGCCAGCATGGTCAGTTAGATTTTTTTTTAATTTCATATTTAATTTGTGGGGATTTGTGGCTCGGTTTCATGTTGCCCAATCAGACACCAAATTTGCTCTGTATCCAAAGATGACCTTAAACTCTTGGTCCTAATGCCTCTGTCTCCCTTACATCCAGATCAGTTTTCAACCCTGAGATTAGAGAGATGTTTATGCCCTGTAACAGACAGCCAAACGTCTCTGCATAAAGATGGCCTGCAGGACTTTAGCTCCAAGTGGGGAAGAACCAGAGTGCTAGAAGCCGTTTAGGATTGCTCTAGCGAAAACTTCTTAAATTCTGTTGTCCAGAAGGAGCAGGAGAGCTGGGAATGGTGAATCCCAGTACTGGGGAGGCAGAGACAAGTGGATCTCGGACTTTAAGACTCACCTGGTCTACATAGTGAGTTCCAGGATAGCCATGGCTATTTAGAAAGACCCTGTCTCGAAAAGCAATAAAATAATAATAATGATAATAGAAAAAATGAGCATGAGCTAATAATAATAAAGGAAGAGAGTGGGAAGTAGATAGACCTGGAGAGGGCTAGCCCTAGGCACTGAAGGGAAAAACCCAGGTCTTGCAGGTGTTGACACAGATCTCAGAGATGGTATGGTAGTACTTCCTCATCTGAGGCACTTGTCCAGTTCCTTTACATGGCAATGGGGGACTTGACTGATGGAGTGAACGAGCTTATGAAGGGAGGGAGGATCCTGTATTCTCACATTGTGATTCGTCATTCCAGGATCTTTATAATTGCGAACGCATGTGGGTTGGAGTGAACAACAGAACATCAGAAGCAGAAGTCTAAGACATGACTAGAAAGAGCGAAGGACAACCGCCTGCAGTCTCCAGAAATTAGACGTCAAGAAAATGGATTCTCCCCCAAGAGCGTCTCGAAGAAATGAAACTTTTCATATGCCTTGATGTTAGCCCTGTGAGACTCCATGCAGACTTCTGCCCTCAGGAAGCGTAAGAGGATCTGTCTTTGGCTTAGGTCATTACATTTGTGGCAGTTCTTCCAGAAAGGACAAACAGGAAATTGATATAGGAAGTGGGTGATTGATTGGTGATGCTATGTGCTGGGCAATTCATGTGCACTACATGATTCGATCCTAGCAAACCTCTGAAAATCAATTCTTTATTGCCCAGATAGAGAAATGAAGTCAGAGGATGTGGCCCCAAGCCGGCAAATGAGCCACATCAGGAGTGAAGATTGATCTGGGTTTTGAGTCTCTCTGAGCTCTTGCCTCTGGGTTACACTTTCCATCTGCAGATGGACAAAAAGATTTGAGGGAGCCCGAGCTTTCTGACATGGGAGACTGAATCTCTTGTCTGCACTGCCTGGGGTTGCAGAGTGGTTTGGATAGGCATTTGGTGAAAAACTAAAAGAGAAGTCTGAGGTCAAGGCAGAAACTCACCCACAGTGGATTTCGTGCAAGTAGAATAAACCATTTAGGATGACTGCAAAGTCGGAGAGGAAAGAGGGCCAACTGGGTAACATAAAAAGACCCAGTACTGCGAAGATAAGTGTCTGGAACAGAAACCTCAAAGCTGTTATATCAGTTTAAAAAAGCAAGATAGAACACACACACACACACACACACATGCTGAATGATTCCATTGATATGAAATGTTCAAAGTAGGCAAATCCACTGAGATAGAAAATGAGTTAGTGTTTGCCAGGAACTGGAAATTGGGTAATACTCTTGCTGGCAGGGTCCTGAAGCAGTCAGTGATGGACCCACATGGTGAAACACGGTGATTGCCCATGAG